TCTTCCGCTCTCAGAATTCGCCGATTCGGTGTCTCTCGTTGTGTTTTCTGCTGAGACTGAGCAATATTCGATACCGCGAAACATCTCCGCAGTTATGTTTTCTTTCGGCGCAGCAGATCTGCGGTAATCGAAAGTTAAGAATGTAGCTCAACATTTACAATCACATTCTTCCAAATTTTCATGTGCGTAGTCCACTGCAACAGCCGAACGTACGAACGAATAGGGTGACTATAGCGCATTTTATGAAAACGTCACAAGTTTTTCTGGCTGTTTTAAATCAATAATTACGAAGAAACCATAAAACCTACAAGGTTACTACCAAAGACACAAATCTAGGGAATTGCATGGAAAATGTTTTGTAGAACAACTAAATAAACAGGAATGAAAATTTTCAACTTAAAAACACTAAAATGTATGAAATTTCACCAGTTTTTTTGGTACTTTCAACATACTTTTCAATTTTAATGTATGATAATTAACTTTAATCGAGTTCTTTTTCAAAGAGCATTGATAGCTTAGACTTTAATCTTTCATTTGGTATATTGAAATCAGAAAACCACATTAAGATTAAAAAAATATAGCTAACCAAAGTTGGCAATACAAAAAAACATAAAATGTTGAATAACTCACTTAGCAGTCATTTCCGACCCTATGTTTCATGGGGATTTTTTCATAACTTTAGGAGCCCTATCTACCCTGAAAATATGTAAAACCCGGAACCAAACACCCTGTATATATATATATATATATATACATATATATATATATATATATATATATATATATCTGTGAATTTTTCACAAATATCCGTAAATTTTTCACAAATATCTGTGAATTTTTCACAGATATCTGTAAATAATTACAGGAAAACTGTAAAATTGTTTACCGAACGTTCAACTGTTGAGATTTTGGTAAAATTTTACAGAAATCTGTAAAATAATCTTAGAGTCTATAGTCACATTATGAGAAATTTATGTTATTGCCTGGCTGAAAAGAAAGTCATTTTCAGTTAAATCAATTGATTCGCGATACGCTTTATTGCAAGACATTATTTTATTTAATGGTAAATTGTTGCTACAAACTGTGCTACAATACTCTAGAAGAGGCCTCACATTTGTTCAATGCTTTTATTGTGAAAGGATCATTAAAGTGCATTCTAAATCGTTTGATTAACCCGAGCATGTTGTTTTGAGCTACTCAAATCATTAACATTTGATGAATTTTTATTGGAAATTTATCACACTTATCAAATCTGCATAAATATTTAAAGGTTCTTTTAATTTGATTCAGTTACAGTACAAAAACTGTCAAAAAATCATGCAAAAACATGAATACATACTGGTACACGCAGAAAAAAATATTTTAAGCGTAATAATATTTGACGTAAATGCAATAAGAATTTCATGTTGTTTTGCCTGCAAAAAGAAATCATTATCGTTTCAACAATCCAGTATTGTTGTCCCTTAAAACCCATGGATTGTTAAATCAAAAAGAAAATCTTTTCGAATTTACAAGAGCTTTCATGGTTTTGACGTAAGCTGTCAAATTTGGCAGCTGGGTCAACAAGAAAATATGTTTGTTTTTAAAAGAGATTTCTTGTTGATTCAATCAAATTTATTTTATGAAGGCTGACAATTCACGCAGTAGAAATAACAATATGTTTATTGATTCAAAAATAATGTCGATTTTTTTTTGTGTTTTGTTTTCTTTTTGCAACAAACAGAATTGCAATTGAATTTTTGAGGCATAAAATCACTGATCACGCCTTCCTTCGGGAAGGTCCAGGTGTGGGAGGTGCATTCCTGGCGTCGGGAGCATTGGTAATCAGTACGGAAAACAAGATCGACGGAAAAAAATCAAGGAAAAAAAAACTTAAAAATTGATTATATTTAACAACTGCAGCTTACTTGCTTACCTCAAGTCTCAAGATTTTCGGAAATCTCGTACTTATTTCCCGAAATTCACAATTAAAAACAATACTTAATCAAATGAGATTTTTTTTGTTATTGTTTACATTTTTGTCCGGGTGAAAACGAGGGAATGGTTGGTAGTTATTTTTGTATTCATGGCCCGGGGAATGGACACAGCAAATAAATGCTAAACTAAAATTAACTATTGTTGGCTTAATAATAGAATATTGTTATTTTTACAATAGTTGCAATTGAAAAGTGGCTTATTAAAACAAAAAGAATCTTATGTTGAATTTATTTGAATAAGTTTTATAGAAACAATAAAATGCAATATAATTTCAACCGGAATTGTTTGTTTAAATACAACTAAAGTTTTGTTTGGTTCAATGCAAACAATTTTCTGTCCGTGTAGAATCTAGGGTAGAATATTTAGTAAACCGCGTAGTCAGCCGTCGCAAAAAAATCGCAAAATTTTTTTCTAAGTTCCATCCGCCATTTGGTAGTCCGGCGAATGAAATTACTCTAGTGGAGCGGTCCGCTCTTCGTCCGCATCCCGAACGAAGGGCGAACGATCAGTTTTCAGGCGCCCAATGTCAAATGGCGCCACTTTTTCGCCGGCAATTCGTGTGAGATGTTTCCGCATTTTTCTACCGCCGGTATATCTTTGGAACTGGAATCTTTACCTGCAAAGCGGTACTCAACCACTAACAGCTGATCGTTAAAGCAGCCAACAGAGGGAAGCGATCATTGATGCAATTGAAACTTCATGATAACATGGAGGCAGTACAGTCATAGAGGTAACTCTAAGACCAGAAGGTCGCGAAGAAACGTGATCAACTTTTTGACTCAACTCTGGTACTCTCTTCGGTCCCAAGCTAATCGATTCACCCCTCGAAACATAGGAAAATCCAATAACCCCTCATTTTATCTGTCAAACTTTCATAGCAAATCAAAACAAACATTGTGTAGTAGTAGAATTTCGACTAGAATGAGGTACGTTAATCGTTTGCTTGGGACCAATAGGCTAGTCAAGTAGTGAGCCAATTTAAAATCGTTAGTTTCGTATTGATTGTTGGTACAGTGGCGCTTTATGAAAGAAACACTTTAATGGTGGTAAGCTCCAACCGTTATTATCGTCGGATTAAATCCCGACCAAGAATGTACGGTTATTTTGATGTCGACATCAATGTTAATTAACACGAATGCAAGCAAACATTTAGCAGATTATTCAAACAGTGACGGTATTAAAAGATCATTCAACTTGGAGCTTACCGCCATAAGTGCCGGAATTGATGGAAATTTTAGGGGTAATTTTCAATGAACTTTCGTTTGTTCTAACTGAAGTGCTTTAATTTCCAGCAGCATGCCGCAAAGGTAGGTTACTCCCACCAGCATCAAGATGCCACTTTCATTCAGGTACACCCACGCCGAGTCCGTCAGGTGTAAATAATTTCAGCTTTGATCAACAATCTGTAAAATGATACATTTCATACTTTTAAAGCATCGGTGCTTTGAATAAAAAAAAAGTTATTATAAAAAATAAAAAAGAATAAGAGTTGTTTGTTTTAAAAAAAAGTAATTGTTTTAAAACTAATTCACATTGAAGATGTGTAGTGTGTAGTGCCCACCACAGTGTACTCAACAAATGGCGGTAATGCTTTAGGGACGATGTTTTACAGTGAGAAATAATCAATGTGTTATGTCTGTTTGTCTGTGATATAAGCGTATGTAATTGCGATGAAAATGCCTGCAATTTGAATTAAAACTTGTTACACGTCAATTTAAAAACTATGCGTTTCCAGTTTGACAGTTGTACAATTGTTTGGTTACCATACGTGAAATTACATGAAGAACGAATAGAGTCAATCCAAAAACAATTTTTGTTATATTTTTTTTACGCAAGTTAGGATGAACTCTCTCTCCCGTCGTATGAAGCGCGTTGTTTATAAATTAATATTCAAACACTACTGAACATACTATGATTTCTTTTGTGAGCAATATTGTTTCACAGCGCATTGACTCAGCATACTGTCTAGATTAAATTTTTACGCACCCTCTCGCCAATTATTAACCGACAATTGTTCACAGTAAATCACCATCGTACTAATTACGCAAAATTTAAACCGTTAAATTAGATAATGTCTGCATATAAAAAAAACCCTAAATGTATCTATCTCATATTTGACCATCGTTGATTTTTGTGATGTTCGAGAACTTCTAGCGATTGGATCTGCTTATAACTTTTGAGAAATGAAATTTAATAATTATTTTAACTAAATGTTTGATTACTTTGGTGCCACAATAATTGTTGACATGCCTAATAATGTTTCGAAAATTACCAATTTACCATGCATTTTTGTATGGCGTCGTTATATTTATTTCCGAAGGAGAAAATCACATTTCCATTTATTTCTCCAACCTACATGATGCAATTGGTTCCTTCTTAGACTCATATTATAGCATGATAATGTGGCTTCCAAATACACATGATAGGGGAAATGTCTCTAATGTTGGCCTATGGATCTAAGATTGGGCCCATCGCTAAAAATCAGCTATTTATGAATTTTATCTAGATGAACGCGTTATTGGGACGTTACTAATAGATATTTTTGGTTGCTATTGAAAATTTAGTCGTTTGCTGAATTTATGTATGGGCCCAAATTAGGGACACTTAGGCCGACATTACCTGCATTTCCCCTATAGAATTCCTCTGATTACTGATTCTTAGAATTTGGTTATTAAAGTGTCCTTATATTAATTTCCACTAGTGTAGATTAGGGATTGCCTTCTTTGTATGTTAGTTTGACTGACTGAGTTATTGTTAGCAAGAATTCAACAGAGGAAATGAACAAATTCCATTGCGGATTATCAAATCCGACCTATAATACTCTCGTGAAACAGGTAGAAAAATGTTGTGAATGTGGCGAAGTAATTGGGAATGAATGTGTGCGAGATCAATGCCGGAGGTAGAGTTTAGTACCCATTTTGAGCATGAGCTTATTTGTTTGAAGGATGCATATGATTCTACCTATTAATGATTGATCTCATATTACCGTATATGCAGTCTAAATTCCTACCCTACATAAACCTGGATGTTCCAAAGTTTATGATGTATTTCATTTGTATCATCCTGTTCTGTAAAAATTGAAGTAATTAAATGTTAGTTTACGAAGTATAGCTACATATGATTGAATTGAAAAGAATCTGCGTGAAAGTTGCAAGTGAACGAACTTTGAATAGTGATTTGGTTATTATAATATTTTACCGACTGTGCATCGGTAAAGGTTCTCAAACACAATGGCGTCTGACGTTTTGTATTCATGTGTAAATGATCCAAATTTTACAATAATTTGTATGTTTATCGATAAATTTTCTGATGCTTGTGGAATAAATAAACCACCAATAAGTGAGCTTTGTTGTATGCTAGAAAACACAAAAGAAGGTAAGTGGAATTTCGGTTGATTTGTTTTTGCTTGAGAACAGAACTGGAACACATATTGGGATAATATTACTGTTTTGAGACAAGTTGATGCTGAAGTTTGAAACCTCCCAGCTTTTGGGTACACCCTATTAGGTTGATAGATATGATTGGAAGCTACTTCAGAATACTTAGGTGGAAAATATCAAGATCTTTATGCACTTCATCAAAATATTTCGAATTATCCAACCCAAACAGTTCTATTGATTCAAAGTTTTATTGATTCAAATTTAAATTAATGAAATTAAATAACTTAACTTGAATCAATAAAACTTGCAAAATCATATAAATGCGTTGTAAGCTGTTTTAATTTGGTTAACAGGATTCGTAATTTAGCTTGTGAGCATAGAATGTGCATGAATTTAGGAAGTAGTAGTTTATCTTTATTGTTTTTGCTATATTCTATAAGTACGAGTGATGTTCCATCCGTTACCTCATAGATAGCAATTTGTAATAAATTGGGGATCTGAAGGATTCATATTTTTTAATTTTGTCCAACCTTTAAACGGAATCCCTTATTAAGAGCTTTTGAGTGTGTTGAATTATGTCTCCTTTTAATTCCGTCATAATTGCTTTCTTTTGACAGATACGTGTATTTTCACAACTTGTTGACTTCCTAAGTGCCAAGTACTTGGCGGATGTGGTGTTTGAGTACTTAGCGCTGAGGAAGTTTACAAGTAGTGGACAAAATACGCGTATCTGTCAAAGATAAGCAATTAGAACGAAATTAAAAGGAAATAACTCAACCCACTCAAAAACACTTTATAGGAAGGATTGTTAGTTGGACACTAACCCTTCATAAAGGAAATGGAGGGTAAGCCATAGGATACGTCTGGTAAGCATTATTGACAATTTATCAAACCTTTAAATATAACAATTGAGTGGGCCTGGGCTTGACCCCACGACTCTAAGCACACTGCACACCACCGAAAATAAACATAAATTGAGAAGTTGTTTGTAAACTCAGTCGGTAGTGGATTTAAAATCAATGATAATTAATTAACAAACCCACAAAAAAAAACAACCCCGGAAGACGCCTTTTTCAATAGGTACATATCAATCATCGCGGTATACAATAATCAGAATAAACAATGATGTCGTAGCATTTTCATAAGTTCTACCTAATATGTCAAACATTAAGTTTTTTTTGTGAATGGTTACTTTTCTAAGTGAAAAAACTAGAAATATAAATTAAGTTCATATTTTTTTTTATTGTGGTACTAAATCAACCATGGAGCGATCCATTTAGTAAGCCACGCATCAAATTGGACGAAGGGGTGTTTTAGAAACCTGTGACAAGCAATACATAAGTAAATTTAACTCGTGGTTAAACGTGACATTTCGTAAGCTATTTTCAATGTTCGAAAGTCCAGAAAATTTAACTCCAAACGGTCAGAAATAACCACGCTCGGATAGCAGGGTTATTCGATAACTCATCTGTCACTTTTAACCACGAAATAAATTTAACAAACCAATTGGGTCACCGCCTTGGAAGTAAAATAAGGCACCATCCATAAATGATATACTTAACATTGGGCAACAGTGAAATCAGTGCTATGTCTCAACAATGTTCCTATTTTAATATTCAGGTAGGGCTTCCTCAGAATGCTATAAAAAGCACACAAAAACAGGTTTGACATTTATGCGAAATTTCAGTATTGATCGTGAATATCTCGAACACTGAAATTATCAGGCGTTACCTCTATTAATGCTTTTAGATTAGCTATGTAAGTCCATCCTACTTGAAAAATTATGCTATAGAATGGTTTATAAATTCCCGGATTTTTTGCTGATGGGGGCGAAGCATAGCAACCCTAATAAAAAATAACCATAAACGAACGATAACCCTAATCATTGAACTATTCCACAAATGGTTTGGATGATACCCAGAACACGTCGTTAAGCAAATTAACCATACAATTTTTATTAGGGAAGCCGTTCGATAGCATAATTCTCCAAGTAGGTGGGACTTACAATGCTATTCTTTTAGCATAAATGAAGGTACCGTCGAGTTTTTTACAGTGCTAGGTATTGAAATTCTACAGTGAGCGTTCAAAAGCAATGATCGATTATCTTCTTTGATTTACTCTTTACATTGGTACAGCTAAGCGAAACAATTCAAGCTGAACGTTGCATTATGTCCTAAGTAACATTGACCGATTCTCTTCGTCGACTTTCTCCTTGTATCCCCTCGGCCATGTAAAGTCATTCCCAGGTATTTTCAGTCAGGGGGCCTCATAGCCTAGTCATTAAAAGCACGGTATTACCAAGCCGGAGGCGGCGGGTTCGATTCCCGGTACGGACGAGGGAATCTTTCGGGTTGGAAATTTTCTCGACTTCCCTGGACATAGAGTTTTATTGTGCTTGCCACACCACATACATATTCATTCATTGGTATTGGCATCGAAAGCTCTCAATTAATAACTGTGGAAGTGCATTTAGAACACAAAGTTGAGAGCACGCAATAAGCTAATAAACACTATACACTGGAGTCGCTTTTTACGCGGTTTTTTTTACACGGTTTTTTTTTACGCGGATTTCGGAATTTACGCGGTTTTTTTTACGCGGATTCCGGAATTTACGCGGTTTTTTTTTACGCGGATTTTGGTTTTTTTTTACGCGGATTTCAGAATTTACGCGGTATATCGCTTTTTACGCGTTTTTTTCTTACACGGTCTTTTTTTACTCGGTTTTTTTTTACGCGGATTTCGGAATTTACGCGGTTTTTTTTTACGCGGATTCCGGAATTTACGCGGTTTTTTTTTACGCGGTTTTTTTTACGCGGGACATATCACCCGCGTAAAAAGCGACTCCAGTGTACACTTGAATTGCGAATAAGAAGAAGAAGAAGGGATTTTCAGCACGCAGATCGATAAAAGAAGCTTTTATCTAGCATCTAATACGACAAACACAACATGAAACGATTATGTGCTTAAGTTATTAACGAAAAAGAAAGTCAACGAAGAGAATCGATCAATGTTATACTTAGGAGCTAATGTAATGTATGGCTTGAATATTATCTGAAATTTGTTCAATGTAGTGTTGTAGCCTGTAACAGGTTGTATTGACTATCAAAGGCAACAGCAAACGCACCGAGATGTGTTAATCCAAGTGAGTTATTAACAAAAGAGAGAATTTGTAATCTGTGATAGTATGGAAGTCACTTTTTTTCTACCACAGAAACACCCCGTGTTCTTATGCCAAATGATGCATGTGCGTCTACAAAACGTGAACGAAATCTTTAAAAAACAGTAATATTAACTAATTTTTTTTTCCGTGATTGAAAAAGGAGACCATACAATGCTGCAATATTCCAGTATTGACCTCACATAGGCGATATATAGTGTTTTAATTGTGTATGGGTCCTGAAAGTTATAGCAAAAGCGCTTGATAAAGCCTAGCATGTTATTTGCCCTGTGAATAATTGTGTGGGAATGGTCTATGAAAGTTAGTTTAGAGTATAAGATAATTCCTAAATACCTAACTCTTTCACATTTTTCTACATTTTGATTTCCTAGTGCAATTGAAATATTTGAAGTTGTTCTTTTCCTGCTAAATGATATTAGGTTACATTTTTTTACATTCAATTCTAGTCGACTTTTTTTGCACCATATGTAGAATATGTGTATTTCATTCCGGAATATATTGATGTCTTCTTCATATCTTATTTCCAAAAAGAGTTTCATGTCGTCGGCATAAATAAGCAATGTAGGTTTTTTGAGAATGAAAGAAATGTCGTTTACGTATAGAATTAAAAGAATAGGTCCCAAATGAGAGCCTTGGGGGACGCCTGAAGTGACTTGAATTGGACTCGATTTGAACTCGTTGAATTTAATTATATGTTGGCGGTTTTTTTTTTTCTTGTTTCCTTTGTTCGGGACCTAACACTACTGCGACCAGTAAATTGATCTATTGTAGTATATCCCGTGTCCTTAGTTTAGTGCATGTCGTATTACTCCATCACTATTGAGAAATGATGAAGTATTCGATTTTTTTACAGTTGCCACTCTTGCATTTATCGCAAGGATCCGACTCTAATTGAAAGGTCCCGCTATTTATACCCTTCGGAGTGTTGAAACACCCTCCAAAGGCGCGCCCCTTTGTCAGTCAAAATTGGATTCCTTAGAAACAAAATTAAGGTATGACACCGATAATGACCATGCATCAGAACCCTAGTCTTAACCACTTCAAACTAGGGAACAACGAATAGAAGATTAGGAATCACATAGATGAAGACAACTAACTCATTTTTTTCCTTGTGTCAAGATTCATCCTCGGTAGACAAAGCCGAGTCTTGTCACTATCAAAAAGACATAAAAAGTAACAAGGACTAAGATGTGTTCCTTGGATTACTGAAAAATCCTGTTCCCCTAGTTTGAAGTAGTCAGGACTAGGAACCGATGTTGGTGGTTAGTTAAATATGATTCAAGCCATTTTAGGAGCCCTGACTCAATTCCAATTTTCTGCAATTTGAAAAGTAGCATTGGTATGTCTATGCGGTCAAATGCCTTGCTAAAGTCTGTATAGAGAGCTTCTACGTGGTTTCCATTATCCATTGCATTCAATTAATAGTCTATAAATTCAAGTCAATTTGTCGAGGCCGAGCGACCCTTGAAAAAGCCGTGCATGTCAGTAATTCTATTTTTGATTTAGAGAAATAATTTTTCGTTGACAATTGCCTCGAAAAGTTTAGGAATGCAAGAGATAATGGCTATACCACGATAATTACGTACGTCAGATTTTCGGCCAGATTTAAAGATAGGCACTAGGAATGAGCTTTTCCAAGTTTTTTAGAAGGTTCCAGATTCCAGGGACATATTAAAAATCCAGAACAATGGAGCAGTGAGTTCCATTGCTAGACATTTAATAAATACTGGAGGAATTCCGTCAGGTCCAGGACCTTTTGAGGCGTCTAAATTTTTTAAAGCCAGCAAAATATCCTGCACTTGAAGTTGATTGAGGCCAATGTGCCTTGAAAATTCTGGAAAAAATGCAAAATAATCGCGGTCACAATCTTCTTCAGAAAATGTCGTATAGATTTCTTGAAAAAATTTTGCAAATAGATTGCAGTTTTTTTCCGAGCTATCACCGACATTTTCGTCGAGTTGCATTATTGAAGGAAAATTGTCACATTTTAATTTGATTTTTACGTAATTAAAGAAGTTCTATGGACAGGACTTTATTTCATGTTCTGTTTTTGCATTATATTCTTCAAATGCAGTACTGATAGCTAAATTCAGTTGATCGCATATATCCAAAATTCCTTAAAATTAATTGCCAATTGACAGTGTTTAATTTAATTTTTTTTTTCGTAGTCTGCTAATTTGTATTCAAAGACTTCTTCGTATTCGCAGTCGTTGGGTCTTTGGTTTTCATGCACAAATATAGAATATTCAATTGCTGTGTGAAACGCTTCATTTTTCCACAGTGGATTTAATGATTCGGTCACACAGAAATCTTTATAAATATTCGTTAGTAAAAAGTCCAAATAGCAATTTTGTTGGTTTTTGATGTGGTTAATTTGGTTCAGTCCTAAATTAGCAGTTTTGTCAAAAATGAACTGCAATGTTTCATTATCCCCAACGACTGGGAGTAAGATACATTCATTTTCAGAGTCTAGAATGAAGTCAGCATGGCGTTGATTAAAGTCTCCATAGATGTGAACTTTAACCTCAGGAGGAAGCTCAGATAGAATTTGTTCAGCACTTTGGAAGAAGGCTTCATAAGTGCTTTTATGAGCATGGTCTGGTGGAAAATATGTACACTGAGGCGAACACGTGCGTTTCACCGACTATGTGTGATTTCACCCAAATATGCTCAAATTCTGTAAATTTTGGTGTAATGATGAGTTCTGAGTTAAAATTGGTCGAAAGAGCTATAAGTGAAGAAATCTTCTGAGTTGCATGACAATTTCTGTCGTCTCGCGCGCGGGTCAGTTAATAATAATTAAAAAAAAAGTTTAATTTAAAAATATATACAAGAGCGCTGCGAAAGCGCGTCCGAACGCAAAGCTGGTTCGTTGTGGAATCTAGTATCACACTATGTTTGTTTTGATTCGCTACGAAAGTTTGACAGGTCTTAGAGTTACCTCTAAGTTACTAATTAGGAAATCCAAAATATGTACATAGGACCGAAATCCTAGGTTACTTCTACTATATTTTAAATCAATATCTAGAAAAATGCACGAAAATTTCACCACAAAGCTTAACGTAGTCTACGTAAACCATGCGGTCGTGTCTTGTACACAACCCCACACATTTTTTTACAAACTACCAAATTTCTTTCCTAATGTTCATAAATGATACATTACTAGTTATTGCGCGCAATTCTGGTGAATTCATCGGTTGGCCGTATATTCTTGCATAAAAATTAAAATATAAATGTCTATCTACCGATCTTGAGTAAATATTTTCGGTATACCGTACTGTGCCATATTTCTCCGCGTTTTTGAAAATTAAAAATAATTATAAAATGCGGACAATCTGAAGTAAGTTTATTAAAGGTTATTTTTGTGCGTATCGAAAAAAATATGCATTTTGAATAATTAAGAATATAGGGGAAATGGCTTTAATGTTGGCGTATGGATCTAAGATTGGGCCCATAGCTGAAAATCTATTATTTTTCTTTGACTATATGTTTTTAGTATTACTTCTACGTGAAGTCAACGATTTACATAGTTGAAGATGCTAATTTCAAATAACAGACTGTAGTGGTAATTTTTATACGATAGATGGAGTAGATGAAAGCATAGAGTTGATAGTTTCGTTAGAGTACGGCAGTGTGAAGATTGTATATAGATATTAGATTAGCGAACTAGGACAACTTTTTAAGGAAGGTACAAATCGGTTTTTTCATCTCTCTTTACCAAACTCCCCCTTTGGAGAGGGATGGTGAGGGGTGTTGGTACTTGAACGGGTCGGTTTTCATCTCTTTTTGCCAGTGGTGGCCGGGGGGGGGGGACACCCCTCACCATCCCTCGCCAAAGGGGGAGTTTGGTAAAGAGAGATGAAAAAACCGATTTGTACCTTCCTTAAAAAGTTGTCCTAGTCCGCTATTCTAATATCTATATACAATCTTCACACTGCCGTACTCTAACGGAACTATCAACTCTATGCTTTCATCTACTCCATCTATCGTATAAAAATTACCACTACAGTCTGTTATTTGAAATTAGCATCTTCAACTATGTAAATCGTTGACTTCACGTAGAAGTAATACTAAAAACATATAGTCAAAGTACATAACTCTGGATGGGAGCATACCATCAATTACTGCCAATGGTCGAAAGGTACAGTAGCAACACCTACCCCACCCGTGTCCCCTCGAGATCGTCAAGTCGACGATGACAGGAGCACATATCGTGGTAGGGGTAAACAATAGTTGCAATTTCCAAACCTACGACTGGATGCCTTCCTTCAAATAACAATTGAAGTGCGGTAAAAATCGGTAGAACTGTTTCAAACACACAGTTGGTACTTGAACGGGTCGGTTTTCATCTCTTTTTGCCAGTGGTGGCGGGGGGGGGGGACACCCCTCACCATCCCTCTCCAAAGGGGGAGTTTGGTAAAGAGAGATGAAAAAACCGATTTGTACCTTCCTTAAAAAGTTGTCCTAGTTCGCTATTCTAATATCTATATACAATCTTCACACTGCCGTACTCTAACGGAACTATCAACTCTATGCTTTCATCTACTCCATCTATCGTATAAAAATTACCACTACAGTCTGTTATTTGAAATTAGCATCTTCAACTATATTATTTTTCATTTTTATCTAGATGAACGCGTCATTGGGACTGTACTAATGGATATTTTTTAACGCTATTGAAAATTTAGCCGATTGCTGAATGTATGTATGGGCCCAAATTAGAGGCATTTAGGCCGACATTACGTCCATTTTCCGTAGTGCATTTCCACTCCACATGAAGAATCGATTAGACGCGACCTTCTCCGATTAGTATGAAACTTTGCATTATTGATTGTTATGGGTAAACATTCACATTTGTTTTTAAATTGAGCCATTTTGAATCTCGATAAAGTTTACAAAATAGCATATTCCATATTTTAGATGAATCAGATTGCAAATACCTAATATTATGTTAAAATGTCATCTAATCGAAATAGTCAACAATTTAATATATTCCAATTTCGTGAACAAATAAGGACCCTACATTTGTATCTTATTTTTAAATGGTATTTGGCCAATATATCTCATGAATCCAATGCGCATTGGTTTGAAAAAGTGTTTTTTGATATAATTTACTGATAATTTACTCCATTTTTTTCCAAAAAAAAATCTGTAAGTGGTCCACTAAAGGACAGGACCATACAAGCACAGACAAACAGACGTAACACTTCATTCTTCGTTCACGCATTTAACGGTTGATTTGAATATTATCAGCTCCGCGAACTACTCGTCGCAGCGCTGGCATCGGATCACTTTGACGTTTCTATACATTCTTTAAAACTTTTATGCAATATTGTTTGCGAGTTAGTGAGCAAGCTTGTTTTCCACGAGAAGCCCGAGAGATGTCGTTACTGAAGTCCAATGTTTTGAGATACTATGTTTTCAAGAAAAACTTTTTCAAAGAGTTACGTCTGTTTGTCTGTGATACAAGGCAAACATATCTTAGGTTAACAAATCTTGGATGCGATGGTTTATTAAAAGTATATAAATTATGTTTTATTCATGCGAGAATTGCTAACCAAATCATAAACATAATTACCTGTAGATAATTTTTATTTCAGTTGCACCAGCTTTAGAGGAACTGCACATAAAATTACTAAGAAAGATAAAAAAGACTGTTCCAATCAATAGATGGGAAAACGCTCTTGCAAAATTTGCTTACTCGTATTCAAACCAAGATGCCTGGGAACTAGAACGTTTTGGTTACAAAAATTCCAGCACAGTGGTAAAGCTTCGAATTTTGAAGGTTAGTTAAAAAAAAAACAATTAAATACAGGTTTTATTTTCAAAAATTATATTTGCTTGTAATAGGCGCTTTTGGAGGCACAGTTTGATCGCAACATAAAATTCAAAGGATTCATCAATGGTATAGCTGCAGAAGAACTTCGTTCTGAACCCATAGGAAAAGACAAATTTGGTAACACATATTGGTGTATTTTGGACCAACAATGCAGCGTGAAAATATTTTGCGAAAATTTGGATGATGAAACATGGAAAGTTGTTGCAAGGTAAGAATCTGTTTATTTATAACTCTTAAAGTCTGTTCACTAACTCGATATCGAGCTATTGAACCATAGTAGAATTGAATGTCATAGCTACTGGTTGGTGATTTCCAATAGGATTGTTGTTCTATAACTCGATTGTCCTGTCAATATAGAGTTGTTGAGAGTTCAATGTATTTTGTTTTATCATACATTGACGAGTAACAAGTGAAAAAATTTGATCAACAAATTTCAAAGCTATAGATTATGGAGCTTGAAATAAGAAAATTCATGATTCACAAACACCAGGAGAATCCCTCATGGTATGTTTTGAAATAACCGTTTTCTATCCATTCATTTATTTGGAAGGCTCAACCACGTTAGCTTTACGGAGCCGATTGATATATATTTTTTTTAAATTACATTGAAAAAGAGGATTATAAATTAAATAATTTCTTCTTGAGGCGACTGCTTGTGCTACCGCGCCTGTAACTTTTCCTTTCTTATGTTTTCTTGCTTCCATAATATTATGTTGCTGATCAAATAATTCTTTTGCCATCAAGTAAGTCGGGTCTGTACGGTAATCGAACCGCTTGTGAACCTGTTTTCACTCGCTTGTTCTTCTTTTTCTATGTTGTATACCACTCCTGCAAACGAACTAGCTTCCAAACTGCTTCCGCTTTGAACAGGAATTTATCCGGTGGCCCACATTTATTTGGGTGATTTTTTAATCACCAACTCCCAGATTTGTGACATTAGCTGACGCTTTTGGTTTGGCTTAAAGTTTATATTGGGGTTCTTTTTCGAAATGTATGGAGAAATCCCAAGTACCATTGCAAGTTTTATAAAGGTTTTAAAGCATGCTACAAGTCTAAATCATGGTCTACAGAACCCTTATAAAACCGAAATTGTTACTTGAGATAACATCCCTTCACTCTTCGTGCATAAGACTGGTTCAGCAAACTCTTTTATGAGCACAATCTCAGCACATGCAGCTTAATCTTTAAGAAACAACTTTTTTCAAGACAGCTTCATAATTCAAGTTAGTATTATGTAGATATTCATTCTTGAATTTATATATGCATTTTGTTCATATATTGCAACAAAATACAGGCAGCTTATGCAATGTATCAACTAGATCACCACTAAAAAAATAAAAGTTCATATTCAGACTCGTGTCAGTAGGTGAGGTAATCACTCTATGGATGTTTCAGCTATTTTTGACGTAACACGGACTGTCGTTTTTCGTTTAATGCCTATATAGGGGATTTGGTTGAAATTTTCATATAAAAAATGCTCATATACATTCAAAAGCGAATATCTCAATAAAAATAACTCGATTCATTTTGCAGTCTCAGCCAAGGTGTTACTCATTGTTAGAACTACAAGTTTTGAAAATCTGAAACAAATCGAGAATATTGAAACTTTTTTATGATCGAAAGAGTGTAGAGGTGTCATATTACTTCCGATTCCGTTAAAAAGACCTCTTTTGCTTCTTTTTGTAAGTAAAATATGTCTGAATGATGTTTCTATCGTATCTAATTTTCTTGTGATGAGCGCAACGGAGTCCGCAACATTGAACATTTTTTAATATTTCAAAATGGTACTAAGTTTGTCTATGGTTAATTTTAAATAGCTTGTATCTAAAACATGAAAAATTTTATGTGATCCTATCCTTATACGTCCGATGCCAATTTGTAATGTTACTAGTCCGGGATTGTTTGATAGGTCATGGAGTTGGATTTATGTTGTTGCTTGTGACTGAAGCTTCATAGTCGTTATAGTCAGTATAGTCAACATAATGGTTCTCGTTATCTCCATCTGGAAAGGAATTTTATATTTCTTACATTAGTGTTTTCGTTTTCGTTTCAATTTAGACTTATGAAGCTTAATATTTCTTGCATCAACAATTGTTTTGAAGCTATTTACTTTTACTACCGTTCTCTTAAACTTTGGCTTGGTTTTTTCTTTATTCCCTGGACTGTGTTATAAAGTATTTCGTCTTCCTGTAAATTTGGCTCTTTTTCTCTATTTTTATTGTGGTAATCTGTATCTTTTGCTGCTGTTTTCTCGAGTTGGAGTGTTACTTCGTCTATGATGTCTAGTCGGTTGTCAAACAGTTTCTCGATGTCTAGTGTTAGATCGTCTTCCTCTCTTTGTCCGAATATTATCTCAAATGGTTTTCGTTTGTGCACTTTATGGATAGTTCTATTATACAGTCCCAAGGCAATTTGGAAAATCTTTTTCTGGTTTAAATCTTCATATTTATCTTTGATGCATCGAAAGATTTCATTCAGTGTGGAATGAAATCTTTCCACTATGCCGTTTGTTTCACTATGATTGGAGGGTGTATATTGAGTTTCAATATTTAGTCTTTGGAAAAGGGATCGGATTTCGATGGATCTAAGAGCTGGTTCGTTATCGGAAATTATTTTCTTTGGGATCGTGTAAGTGGTTATTAATTTTATTAGACCAGCTCTTACATCTGGGATGGACCTCGATTTTATATGTATTAGTATGCCAAAACGCGAGAACTTATCGACCCCAGAAAGGAATAAATTTGGTTGCGCAATAAAGATGTCGAGGTGAAGGGTTTCAAAGGGTTTATTTAGGATTTCTGGTCTATGGAGTGTTATGTGGTAAGGGTTCCGTTCGTATTTATTTTCTAAGCATGTTTCACACAAATTGACGTATAACATGCCTGGAAAGTAAAATAGTAGTATTTTATTATTTGAGCGTGGTTCTCCTGACCACCTCTAAGAGCACGTTCATGTGTCTTAGCGATTACTTCATTCTGCTCCTCAGCAGTGCGTAAGTCAGTTAAAATCTTCTGACTTATCTTCACTTTGAAGGATTTAGATTTACTGAAGTAATTGCGATAAACTATCTGTAACGTGTTAATAAAGATTCTGCAGAGTGACATGTTTCGACATCTGCTGAATCGGTTTCATTCTCATTTGACAATTCGTTAGATGAGGCAGAAGCATCATTAACGTTCAACTCTTCATGTTTTATTCTAGACAATCCGTCGGCAACAATATTTTGCCTACCTGGACGGTACTTGACATCGTACTCAAATTCTTGCAGCCTAAGTCTCCACCTGAGCATCTTATCATTGGGATCCTTCAGACTAAACATATAAGTAAGGAGCTTATGGTCTTTAAAGAGCGTGAACTTCTTGACGTATAAGTATGACCTGAAGTACTTGCAACTCCAAGTGATCGCTAGAAATTCTTTTTCGATCACTGAGTATCTCTCTTCTGTTTTAGTAAGCGTTCTCGAAGTAAACGCAACAGGTCTTGGCCTATTGGTCCTTGCGAGAGAACAGCTCCAATCGCGAAATTGCTAGCGTCGGTTGTCAGTATAAACGGCTTTGAAAAATCCGGATACTGAAGGACGTGACTGCTAGTTAAATGGATTTTACATTTATTAAATGTTTCATAAAAATCATGGCTACTATGTCACACTGCAAAATACAGTGTTGCCTACAGAGCAGCTGCTTGATCATGTCATAAGTTTACCAATCTCTTAAATAATTAATAACTTTTTCCTGTCTCGTTTTACATAGAAAAAATCTTGAGCAAAGTTGTAGCTGAGAAAATTTTCTATAAGAATGGTTATAGAACTGTTCCGTACCTCAATATGGAAAAAGACTAGAAGGCAATGAACAAAAAGTTGAGATTTTTCATAGTAATTTACATGTAAACTTCAAATGACTTGTGCGAAGTCTGTTTCTAACCAAATGAGTTGTAACTTTGGTAGGCTTATCAGGACCCGATTTGAAACCATTTTAGCACTGTGGAGCGAAAAAGTCAAATTTTGCATCAGTCTAATGTACACTAAACATATTTTCCCGATTAAATCTCTAAGAACATTATCCATCACCCTTTGAAAGGTGCATGGAGCGTTCTTTAGCCCGAAGGGCATTTTGAGAAACTCGTACTTTCCATGCTCTACCGTAAAAGCGGTTTTGCTGATATCTCTAGGATTTATCTCGATCTGGTGAAAACCCGAGGCTAAATCCAGAGTTGTAAAGTAAATACATCTACCGAGCTTGTCTAACACTTCGGTGATGTCCGGAATCGGATATTTGGCAACAATTGTCTTCTCGTTGAGCTTCCTATAGTCAACGACAAGTCTCCATTTTCTTCGTCCTGACGCATCCATCTTTTTGGGTACTACCCAAATAGGTGAAGACCAGGGGGAATTTGAGGGTCTTATTATGCCTTGTTGGAGAAGGTCTCTAATTTGGCTTTGCACCTCTTCTTTTAGGCAATAGGGATACCTGTAACTTTTGGTGTATACTGGGATATCATCCTGTGTTTCACCACGTTAGTGAATGTTAACTTTTCCGATTTAAGATGGAAAATCTGTTGATATTCAGTTATTAATTTAACTAAACCAACACGAAGATCATTCAAGTGATCTAAACGCAACTGATCAAATAGGCTAGCAAAATATCAGAATCTGGTTCGAGATCTAAAGGACATCCTGTTTCAAAATTATTTGCCTCAATGTCTCCCTTTAAAATTTCAACCTCTGTGCAATTATTTGTGATATTGGTCACCAGTAATTTCGCTGAAAAATGTTCAACTTTGTAAAGGCTTTGTTCTCGAATAAAATATCTATTGTTATTAGAAATTCTCCCTTTTCTTGACACAAAGGTAATTCTATTATTCTTTTCTTTTATTATAATTCTGGCATTTAATTGGAATTTAAAAATTTCTAGCAATTTTTTTTTTCCATAATTATTTTTGTAAAAGTAAGATGTAATGTATTTGTAATTACTGAAATCATTGCATTTAATAGACTCAAGGACTCATATCCTATTAGTCCATTGAAAAAGTCATGAAATTCATAGATAAGGAATTCTAATTCCCTTGTTCCCTGAATTCCATAGAAAGGATTTAATAGCATGAAATGATCTATATCGAATTTACCTTTCACATTTTTGACTTTCATCGGGATCAGTGTTTTATACACAGTTCCCAAATTTGCATGACGAGGACTGAATGGACAGTAGCGCA